GCTCGCCTGAAAGCAGCATCAGATAACTAGGTCCTACCTTATTTAATAAACGAACAACAGTGGTCCGATCGGTTTGACCGTTTAAACGCAAACGGCCCAGGTGTTACTATAATTTGCACTACGATATTGAATACCCGATACGCAAAACGGAAATGACGACACGGTGTACATGCACATTTCGATCAAGATAATTGAGTCCGAGCTGTACTTTTTCCGGAAGTACGTCACGAAAATGGACGCTGATGACGATGTGTCGAGCCACCTTAATACTATTATTATTTCTAATTCTGATACCTAGTACTTCTGCTCATAAAATAAATAAATACGGGGTAATAGGGTCACCTTGACGAGATCCACGTTTAACTTTAAAAATGGTGATAGATTCCCCCCTTTGGTTAATTATAGATTCTTATCCGTACCCTGGGTTGTTGTTTAACTATACTGGAAACTTTGGTAAGGCGAGAAAGAAACTAGCTGATCAAGCCCAGAAAGCATTATTTGATTTATATAGGAAAATCAAAAATATGAATTTACCAGTAGACCTACAGTTTGAACTTTTTGATACATTAATTAATATTGCCTATACTGTTATACGCATCAGAGATATGGGGATTCGAAAATATTACCCTCCTGGAAACGATACATCTGAAATTTATATAAAAAAAATCTCAATTTAAGAATATCTACGCCTAACTTTATGGTATATGGAGAATCGGGACGCTTTCCTTTAGAAAATGCTATTAAAAGTAGATTGATTTTATTTTGGCACAAACTAATAATAGAAAACGTTAAAGTATCGAGTCAGTTATATAATATTATACATACAATGCACGAAACGGGCGCATTTCACTCAAAGTGGCTAAATTTAATCAAAACTACACTAATTCATCCCAAAAAGTTACTACTCTAGAACGACAAAAACTTAAACATGTTGTAACACAAAAGCTTAAAGACCAGTTTATTCAAAAGAGGTATGCCGATATCGAAAAAAAGGTAGGAGAGGACAAAATTATCTATTTTTAAATCTAATTTTGGTTTTGAAAATTACTTAATTCAGCTAAACAAGAGGGATCGTGTTGTGTTTTGCAAATTTCGCTCGTTAAACTTCCCGTTGCCCCTGGAAACTGGCCGTTGGATGGGAATTCCTCGAGAGGAAAGAAAATGTACTTTGTGTAATAGAAATGAAACAGGAGATGAATTTCATTATTTGTTTAAATGTCAACAAGAATCCATACGCCAGATTAGGGGAAAATGTATTCCGAAATATTATTACACAAACCCTTACGTCGATAAAATGAACGGAATGTTTACAATATGTAACAAACGATTAATTAAAAGGGTTAGTACATTTCTTGTAAAACTGCAAATAATTATAAAAAAAAAGAAGTGATATATCAGTATGTCAAAATACTATACTTTGCATTATGCCAAATCTGAAGATAATTTGCTGTGAAAATTGTGTTTTTAATACATCATATATGAATAATGCTGATAAGTCCGTTCATGTATTGTCTTACTGTTTCACATGCATGAAATAAAGCTGAATCTGTTCACATGTAATCTACATGTGTGAAATAATGCTAAATCTGTCCTTGTATAATACTACTGTTTCACATGCATGAAATAATGATGTGTAATCTTACTGTTTCACATGTAAGAAAATAATGCTGAATCTGTTCATGTATAATCTTACTGTTTCACATGTATGAAATGATGCTGAATCTGTCCATGTGTTGGTTATAATGATACTTTGTAACAATACATCTGATACATATGTGCATCAAACAATGTGAAATATTGTTGAATCTGTCTATGAAAAATTGCTGAATCTATCTATGAAATATTGCTGAATCTATGAAATAATGCTGAATCTGTCTATGAAATAATGCTGAATCTGTCTATGAAATACATAGGCGTGATCCGTTATAGCCGTACTGATCCGCTATAACCGACAAATCGGTAGGTCTTGTTTTCCTTATTTCGTTGTGTATATTTGATTTTATGAAGATCTTTTGGTATCACTGGAGAGGTAATTAAATGTACTTTCTGAAAATATATAATGTCTTTAAAAAAACAGTTTTGCAAAAATCGTGTGTAGCAATTATATGCAAAGTGATCCGCTACTGCCGTAACAACTGTATTGCTGAATCTATCTAAGAAATATTGCTGAATCAAACTATGAAATATTGCTGAATCTATCTATGAAATATTGCTGAATCTATGAAATAATGCTGAATCTACCTAAGAAATATTGCTGAATCTATGATAATGCTGAATCTATCTATGAAATATTGCTGAATCTATCTAAGAAATATTTCTGAATCTGTCATTGAAATAATGTTGAATCTACCTATGAAATAATGCTGAATCTTTTCATGAAATAATGCTGAATCTGTTCATGAAATAATGCTGAATCTGTCCATGTGTAATCTACTCTCTCTGTCGTGTTTTATTTGATTGATGTTATTTTGTTTGACCTCTAAATGTTACACACTTTGTGTGTCAGAGCGTAATAAAAAAAATCTTGAATCTTGAGTCAGTGAGATGAAACCCGTAAGGGTGGAATCATGTAGGCGAAAAAAACATCAACCAACCAATCCTTGTTTGGGCAACAACCTTTAGCATATATATAGATATTCAAACTGCTGTGAAGGGGTAATCAGTACGTGAACATGATTTCGAATGTTGTTACCTCCCTTAGTAGATAGAAAAAGATTTTCCTACCAGGTGGCTATGACGTCACGATTGTACACCTCGTGAAAATGGCAGACACAACGCTCTACGAAGTGCTAGGCGTTTCTAAAACTGCCTCTGATGGAGAAATTAAGAAGGTAAATGAGTACAGAAGTTGAATTGTGAAAACCTTAAGATTCTATTATATTTTCCCCATTCGTAATTTGTCTAAAAAGTATTGCCATATTGTGTTTTCAATGGGATTTCTATCCTGTTCCGGCGAGGTGAAAAATCGTGCATGGTCTTGAAATTAACAATTTTTACGACTTCATTTTAGGATCTCCGTAAAGGAGGTTTCTATTCTTTCGTTTCTGTCAAATATTGACATCAGTTTCCGTTGAAGTGAAATATACGATAAACGCCATTTACATGTTAACTTAAAAAACTGTCATATTTAGCAAAATGGCGAGTAAAAAGACCTACCAGTTTCACTATTTTGTGACATTACGTCACCTGCTATATAAAACAGTTTAATACATGTGTAAGCTACAATTGACAGATGTTCCATTTATAACACGCTAAATTTTATTCCATTTTTCCCATTGATAACTTACAGCACTTCCTGTAGTTCAGTTAAATATTCATTAAATTTTGATCCAATTATGGCCATCTAAAAGACAATGGAATGTGCATGCATTTGTTTTGATTATTATTCTGTCCGTTCGATTACACCCACGGTTTGTCTTCACAAGTTTTCTTTCATTTGCCAGTTTGGGATCATCCTTCATTTGAGTGATTGTAAACTTATTTGAGGAAATTTGTTTTAAACAGGGGTGGGGGTGAATGTACCAAGTTACAGATACAATCAACAATAAAAACATGAACTGCTTTGTAGCAACCGAAGCTGAACCAGACTGGGTCGATCGTTGACAAAAAGGTAGCGCTAGCTCAACTGGTAGAGTTGGAGTTTGGAGGGTTTCAGGTTATAATCCTGGTATAGCTGTGCATTTCTCTATGATCTATCCCAGGCCTGTTACAGTGGTGCCTTTGACCAATCTTTGTTTCAAACATTGGGTGTACACTTGACAAGAGGATATCCGAACCTGGGTTGAAAAAGGTTGTGTCTTTTTGGGCGAAGACTTAAAAGAGGGAAGGGAAGGAGGAAAGTAGGAGAACTGCACTGGCCATGGGTTGATCTTCAGTGACCTGCAGGTATATACGTAGCTCAGTTGGTAGAGCATCCATCTAGAGAACGGAGGGTCCCAAGACTTGACCCTTGTCTGGTCGTTGCATTAAAAAGAGGTCTTCTTGGAAACATGTTAACAAATTTTGTACAAAAATCACAAGGGAAGAAGAAATAGATTTTGAAATCGTATGTCTACTTAAATTTCTATTACATTTTTCTGTTTAGCTGTGTTAGTTTTACTCACCTATAGCTTTACCAAGTAATTGTAATTCCACCGCACATACATGTGTGATAGTAAAGGATATACATTCTATAGAGGCATAACTTAAGTAAGTTGTCTGTTGAAACTGTTTACTTCTATTCTTAATCACAGATCGTTAGAGTGGTCAGATAGTAATAATATTATATCAGACGCTCAGTTTGGTTTTCGTCCCTAGTTTTGGGACAAATGACGCTATTTTTACACTTTCACAGCATATTAATAGATACACACGCGTTAAATCCATTTATGAAATGGTTAGATCTTGTGTAAAATATGAGTCTTTGAGTTATCTACCTTTTTCAATGTCACAAACAGCTTATGCAAGGGGAAGGGTTATCTCTCTTTCTTTTTAGTCACCCCTGGGGGAAGCCCAGTGGGGACTATTAATTTTGGTTTCAGTCCCAGATATTGACCTCTGTTAGGAGGGCTGTTGTGTATCTTGCTTCTGTCGGAATATACCAGGCGCTAATTACAAGCTCTTGGATAACTCGGATATCAATTTTCTTTTTAAAAAGGAATAGGATAAAACCTAAAGCCGCTCCAAATTCCCCACGGGAATTACATGTATAACCTAAAGATGTTCCGTATTATAAATTGCTATTGACTGATTTAGATATTTTATGTCTGACCAACGACTACCGTTAATATTTGCGTATAGTGCACACTTTTTAAGGGGAAAATGAAGTGTCAAGAAAGGGGTGTACACGATACTCAAGAACAATCCAAAACCAGTCCTTAGTCGCGACCATTTCTCGTAAATTTTTGGAGGATTTTCGGAAATGTTTTGATATATGCTAACAGCAATACAACTGCTAAATTTCGTTGAAATCCCTGATTGCATTGCCAATTTAACAATTACGAAAAGTTGGAAGCTTAAGTCATATAATACTATAGAATCGGATAAACAAACTTGAGTAAAGTAGGCTCAATTTTTCAGGACGTTATGTTGTGAATTGATAAATACCACGTATCGGGAAACATAACAAAGAATTGCATCGGATTTATTACTCAGTGGTTTAAATGCATCGTTCTTGTGTAAAATCTTGCTGAACTCTTCAATCTTGTCTGTAGGAATGTGTCAAAACGACACGGGTAAAGTGGCAAAGTTAGCAAGTTTGTGTACCGCAAAGAGTCAAAGTTGCGTGATACCATTAAAAAGTTTGAGTTTGAAAATTGAATATCAACGGGTTCAAAACAGCCAAATACATTCCGATCTTTTCTAGAAGGAGAATTGCTGATATCACAATTGTTTGGTGTTCTTTATGTCTTGCGAATCCTGCTGTTGGCGGTCTTCGTCGGAGTGACTGCCTTTAAGCGTACAGTACACATTCTGCTGATATCGATGACCGATTCAGTCGGATTTGCAGACGATCAGAAAACTACTTGGAAAAGTGTATTTCATAACAAAAAATAGAAGATTTATCCGTATATAAGATTGAATCTATTCTGAAACTTATTGTTGTGAAAACAACATCATTATATTCCAATTGCCTGTTCTGCCCATGCCAGGTGACCTTATTTGAGGTGTCAGTCAACACCAACGTTATATTTGCGACATGCTTTCCTATTAATTCCCTGTGTTGCCATGGCTACCTGAACAGCATGTAATTATTTACACCTGGTAATTGTTTACTATTTTGATTGACAGGTGGAAATATATCCGTTGTAGCTTGGTCAATGATTCATCGGAAAATGATCATACAGAATGGTGGGGTGACTTTCATGTCATTCTGACATATTTCTAGTTTCCCTTTATATCAATGATTTGGAAAATGGGTTGATCATGAAAACCACTGAATGTGTGGAATTTAGCGGTATATTGCTGTTTTTGATTATGTATATATTACAATGGAAAAACCATTGAAATTGTAGAGTCCTGCCATTATCTGGGTGTTACATTGTTTTTTAATGGAAAGTTTACCCAAACTCAGAATATTATTAGTCAGCAAGGTCGAAAATGTGTAGACCGCATAATGGATATTTGTAATAACATTTTTTTAACATTGAAACTAAAATATACGTATTTGATATTTATGTTTCAAGTGTATTAAACTACGGCTGTGAAGTATGGGGATTCCATGCTGCCCCTGAAGTAGAGAAAATGCACATAGATTTTTGTAAGCGCTTGCTATCTGAGAAGGTGTACTCCAAACAATATGTTGTACTCTGAACAAACTTGGTAGATTACCACTTTGTATAATACAGAAAATGAAAATAATTAGACTAGTATTGGTTGAAATTACTTGAAACAGAGAACTGTATTTTGAAAGCCTTGTACTATGATATGTTGTTTGAATTAAATACAAAGGCCAACTGGCTTAGTAATGTCAAATCAATGTTAATGTCTCTAGGTTTTGGATATGTTTGGTATGATCAGAAAGTTGTATACATGTAAGAATCATTTTATACTGGACGTCTACGTGATGTTTTTATACAAAATATGAACATTTTTTTTGAAAACTACAAAATGTTTTTTATATAGATGTCTGCCCATGGTTAATTGTCTTTAGTATTATCTTTGTAAAACTTTTCATGAATCTTGCATTTTAACCATTGCGAAATTTAGATTATCTTCACGCAACCTTCATATAGAAAGGGGCAGATATGAGAATACCTCGAAATGAAAGACTATGTTTAAAGTGTAATTTAGGCGATATATGAGGACAAATTGCATTTTATTCTTGTTTGTCCATTTTACAACGAAGTAAGAACACAATACATTGATAGATATTACAGAATTAGACTGTCTATGTATAAATTACTTTCTGTTAGAAATAAGAAGAAAATGAATAATCTTTCCAAATTTTTAATTGCTGCTTCACAACTGAGATCAAATGAATAATTACATGTATATTGTCAATCCTCCATAATATGTCTATTGCTGTGTATCATTCACTCAATTTTGTAAAATGTGTTGTAATGTTTTATGCTGATTAACTGAAAGGCAATATATATATATATATATATATAAAGGCCAATAAACTTATCAACATTCTATGAAGTGATCACTTTATAGTGGCAGACCCAAGAATTACATAAACATGTACAGTGTAATTCAGATCTAAAACTATCAATGTTACATGATATTGTGAAATTTACAAGAAATTTGATATAGGAATTGATACTTTTTGTGCACACATTACTTATGTTTATCATGAATTAGCAGTCACATATGACAGAATATATACATGTATAGTCTGAAAGCAAGTAGTATAACAATTCATCATGATTTGATTCTTGGTTATTAATATTATAATTAGTATCTTCTGGATTTTGATTTAGCTATAAGTTTAGATATACCCTGAACTCAAAGTCTAATGGAGTACAAATGGTTTGTTTGGCATTGAAATATACAATTTTTATTCATTTATATTTTCAGTCCTACTACAAGTTGGCCAAGGAATTTCATCCTGACAAGAATCCTGCAGCAGAAGATAAAGTATGAAAGACATGATCACCTATCACATTGATTTTTATTTCGTGTTGACAATTTGCATTTTCCATCATGATCAAAAGCAAGTCTAAGCAATTTGATGCTATGTAGCTAAAACATAGCAGTGATATAGATCTATTCTTTTTTTTTAAATGGGCTCCTGAACAAGTATTTAATTTGGATCCCTGCAGGAACATTAGAAAATATTGAATGATAAAAAGGCTGTGTGCACACAAACGAAGATCTATAAATGTATCAGTTATGCAATAAGCACTCAAAATAAGTGTTTCAGAAAAATTACATCAACCAGTCTTGCACAAGCAAAATTGTTTATTGAATCTGACCCATGTCAAAGTCTATTTCATCAATGGTTTCGACTATGGGTACACCGCTAGATTCATAATGCTGATATTTTTTTGGTTAATCTGTAAGTGTTCAGTTATTTCACAGTAGATGCATAATAAATTCTGTGTAAGAGCATTCTAGCAAGGGCACTGAAATACCAGTATGATATACAATTTCTTTTGTTTTCTAGTTTAAAGAGATAAGTTTTGCCTATGAAGTTTTGTCAAACCCAGAGAAAAGAGAGACCTATGACAGGTTTGGGATGCAGGGACTCAAGGAAGGAGGTGGAGGTGGAGGAGGAGCAGGTGGGTACTAATAATGCTGCATAATGTTATCTTAACTCATTCACCCCTGAAGACACATTTGAGCTTTTCCAGTTCAAAGGTTGGAATAGTTCATAATGAAATTTCAGGGGTCAATGAGTTAACAAGATATCTTACCAATTCCATACATTATCCTAAACTGTTGTATTTTTGCTTCGAGTAATCAAGATTGAACATGCAAACTAGATCAATGTTCGACAGCTGTATATCAATCATTTGACTTCATTAACATCATCTGAAACAAAATTCTATTTGATCTTTCAGGCTTCTCAGACATGTTTGGTGATTTGTTCGGAGGAATGTTTGGTGGTGGTCCATTTGGAGGAATGGGTGGGATGGGTGGAATGGGAGGTCGACGTGGCAAAAGAAAGGGAGAGGACACACTTCACCCCCTCAGGTACTGAACAAATTCTCTTCAACCTCTGTATCTTATAAAGTATTGTCATGCATTTGTAAGCCTGTATAATTAAAAGTTACTTCTTTCTTGTTTATATGAATGATCGAGAAATGTTTTATTTTTCAGAGTAACACTTGAAGACTTGTATAATGGAAAAACTTCAAAGTTGCAATTAAGCAAAACTGTGATCTGTACGAAGTGCAATGGGTAAGTAACATCTGTTGTGTTTAAAATACAGGAAAAGGAACTTTTTTAAAATGTTAAATGTCATCAATATCATGTATGATGTAAAGAAAAATCAGGTGATCAATTTCTGACTTGGCTATATTCATGTTAATTAAAGTTACAAATGTGATGTTTATTTTAGATCTGGTGGAAAAGAAGGAGCCACGCACCGCTGTAGAACATGTAATGGGCGCGGTGTTAAAGTCACACTTCGACAGCTTGGCCCTGGCATGGTACAACAAATGCAATCTGTATGTCCAGAGTGTCATGGAGAAGGTAATTTATAGTGCTAGAATCGTATCTTTTTTTATTACAATCACTTATTAAACATGAGAAATTAGAATAATCGAAATAAAGTTACAAAAAATTGTGTTGATCAATGCCAGAACATCATTATCAGTTTTAATATATATATATATGCTTTTCAAATTATAAATTTGAATCAAAGCAAAGTGCAGTGTAAAATATATTCTATTTGTTAGATATATATAAGAGCCTAAATTAGTAGATAGTTCTGTTTTTATCTCAAGGTGTTTTTATCTCAAGGTAAAATGTCCTACCAATTCTATGGTACACAGACACTGAAAGTAATTTTCCTGTTGAATTTATCATTTCCTCTTTATTGACACAACAATATTTGTTGATTGTTGGTTGCTTAGGAAATTTAAACATTTTAAAATGGTTCTCCAAGATGTTGCAGAAAAGTTTAACCAAAAGAAGTACAACAGTTAGCTTAGAGAATATATGAGCACCATGCTTTATAATCAACATGTCTGATAATGGAATCCACATGGTGTAGTTGTTTTCATTGTGAAAAAAGAAACTTTTCTTTGGTATGCATTTGGTTAACTCTGCTATAGCAAGTAGACAAAAAACACAAAGTAAATACTGAACAAATTGGAACTAAATGGAATCTCTACCTTAAAAGAGTATATTATTAATGTTTTTAATTCCATTTCATATTAAACAGAATTATAAGAGATGTAAGAAAAGGGAACAACCATTCACAAAGAATGTGTTGAACAAAATGCAACACCAAGGCCCAGTGTGTTACTGCTGATTCTCAGTGATTTAGTGTCCCATCACCTTGTACACATAGTTTGTTGCCACCAATCTCTGCATTATATGGAGACACTGAGTAGTAGGAGAGATACCTATGTGTATTTCTGTCAATGAGCATTAGCTGAGGGCAAGTAGACAAACTGCTTAAATAAACAATCACAGTGTGTAAACTAGCAAAGTACCCCAGAATGAAAATTAACAAGATAATGATTTTAGTGTACAAATTTGTTTATCATATGTATACTTAATAAGAGTTTAATAAAACTAAATGGATTGATTCCAGGTGAGATGATTAATGAAAAGGACAAGTGTAAGGACTGTAAAGGGAAGAAGGTGATCAATCAAACAAAGATCCTGGAGGTCAATGTGGACAAGGGCATGAAGAACAACCAGAAAATCACCTTCAGATGGGAGGGTGACCAACTGGTATACTTTCTAACATCACATCTTATCTGACATCATAATTTCAATAGTACACAACTCTTGGCTCAATGTTTGCTTGGTCCATTGTTTGCACTAAATGAGGGTGTATTATCCTCTTATGTCATATTTATAGAATTTTGTTCAGAATTATATTGGGTTTAGATGGCTGTACTCCACCTGTACCCCTTCGATTTCCATATTTTAATTATTAGGGGGTATCGCTATGTTACAGACACTTGATTTTATGAAACAAGAATTTGTGATTCTTTGTTCAAAACTCATCAGCGATATGTAGCTATTGTCCATATATATAATAAAAGTATTTTTTCCTGCCTCTGGTTTGACCCATGATTGGTTATAAGATAATTATGAATTATAATTATGTATCTAAAGATTTTGTAGACTGACTTAGTTGATACTTTGTAAGAGTGATGCATGAGAATATAATTTTTGTCAAACAACCAACTTGAAAATTTTGGTTTCAAAGATCATGATAGCCATTGAAAGCATTATCCAGTCATTCATTTTCGTAAATTGAGGTGTTTGCAGATTCGAATATTATCTGTAGAATATTGTGATGTTTTATTTGCGACTGCTGGTATAATTTAAGGAACATTTTTAACAGTACCTGCCACAATTAGAACTAACCTGAAACACTGCTGGTAGAATTTGGTGAAATTTTCTGTCAATTGTCATCACTAAGTTAATTTCTCATTTTATATTTTCATGGCGCAGAGCTAGGTTAACAGTATTTGTTTAGGCTAGTGTCACATCCGATATCATTTCTAATATAATGCTGTTCTCTAGCTACTTTAATACAAAATATCCTACACTCAATTTTAACAGTGGAATTAACCAATTGAGGGTATTCAAAGTAAAGATGACTTGATAACAATAAAGTGTCTATTACCAAGACTTTAACTTCAGTTTTGTCACACTTTACATTCATACAAGATTTTTCATCTCATCTTCTTACTTTGCTGTGTTGTTTGTTACAGCCTGAAATGGAGCCTGGGGATGTTATAATTATGCTGAAGCAACAGGACCATGATTTGTACACACGTGATGGAGAGAATCTCTACTGTACTCACAACCTTAGTCTTACAGAAGCTCTCTGTGGTTTTCAGTTTACACTGAAACATTTAGATGGTAGAGATTTACTCATCAAAAGTCCCCCCGGTGATGTTATACATCCAGGTAATTTCTTAACTATTGTGATGATTTTTCTTTTCAACTACAATAGCGACCTTTTAAAATAATTGTATATAATATATTTGAAAACTTTAAGTTACATGTAACTGGTAGCAAAATTGGAAAGTTTATCACTACATTTCTATTTAGGGTCATGGAAATATATTTAAATTTCTTGAAAATGGGGGAAATTTTACATTGGAGAAAAAAAAAACAGTATCATCATGAAGGTCACAGTATTCTAAGAAATTCAATTTATTGTCCTCTTAGTTTTGAACTGTTGCACCAATTATGTTACTATCAGCACATGTACATGTTTGGTGTTTTAAGGAGCTGTAAAGTGCATAAAAGGAGAAGGAATGCCTTTATATAAGAGCCCATTTGACAAAGGAGACCTTTTAGTGAAGTTTGATATCACCTTCCCACCACAGAACTTCGCACCAGAACACAAGTTAGAGGTAATGACAATACGCATACAGTATAGAAATGGAATTGTCATTTGTTTTGACATTAAATCACATTTCATATTTAAACATTAATGAAAAAACATGCTTTGGTTAGCTGTTTATCACACAGTTTTGTGTCAAATTCCACTTGTGTAGACAATGACTGACCTCAGCTTATAATTTGTGAATGACTATTTTGTTTTGAAGGTTGAAAAACTGGAATCCATATGTATGTGAATTGATATGTCTTAAGTACTATACGAAGGCATATTCTTCATATGATTATTTATATCAGATGTTTCCTTATGAGTGAATGTAATTATTTGAACTATTATAATAACTGTTTCACATCTGTTGTAGAAACTCGAGAAACTTCTCCCTCCTCGGCCTAAAGTAGAAATCCCAACAGGTGATGATGTGGAAGAAGTGAACTTAGTAGATTTGGATGACACCAGAGGGAGTGGTCGTCGTGGGGGAAATGAGGCATATGAGGACGACAGTGATGAGGAAGGTGGTCCAGGGGGACCCAGGGTTCAATGTGCACATCAATAACGCACAGACGTTTAGTTATATAATGAGTGTGTGGATGGATATGAGGGAGAAATGTAAAAGAGTGTGTCGTCGAAAGTAGAAAGGGAAGTGTCAGGCAAGTCTTTGACTGCCAAGGTTCCAATTTCATGAGAAAACAGTCTCAAAATCAATCAAATCTGATTTAACTGGTAAATCAAAGGTCTTAATTTAATCAGTAACTGAGAGGGAAATGGCTTTGCATTTGATTTTATGACTGTTACTTTTTGACATTGTAACCATACTTGAAAAGATCAATTTTACTGTTGTCAGCTGTGTTTTGAATATTTATGATCTATACTTGTAAATGTGATGATGTCATTACGTATATTATGACTTTTGAAGTGACATTTTTTAAAGATTGAACAACTCTTTAGAGTCTGTTTCCAATACATTGAATATAAAATGTTTCTTTTATCAAGATTCTATCAGTGCATTTTAACAATTTTTCTGGTAGCCCCATTAATTTTCATTCATCATTACTTCATGTATATTTTGGTTCATGAATAAGTGTGAAGTTTACTCTGTAAACGTCTACATGCATGACAATTCCTTTGTAATCAGCTACAACACTCCTTTGTATACACGGAGATCTGAATATTCTATGATTTTAGACTAAAGCATGCTGAAAAGCTAACCTTGTACATCTAAACTGCAGTTATATTTCAAATTAAAAAGTGAACATTAAGCTTAAAAGTGCGATTAAGATATTAAACTAAATAATCTTGATAGGTTGTTCCTTAGAATTTGAGGTGTTTTTTTCCAAGCAGTTTTGCTATGACATTATTCTATGAATGCATTCATTTATTTACGAGTTGTGAAGTGTGATCATGCATCTGACAATAGTGATTTAATGTTCCATACTGCTATTCATGTGATTATTGACATAGCTTACAGCAATTTATAGACAGACAAGCTTAAGGTTGCTACTGATTTAAAGCGACATTTCTTCATTTCTCTTTGAAACTATAAGAATATTTCTATGCATTCCTGACATATTGAGAATGACTTTGAATGATGACTATCTTAATTCCAAAATGTCATTGATGATTAATGTTAATTGTTATTAATGTATAGATGTTTTAAACAAAAACACTTGGAGACTACTGGAAAAAGTAAAAACAATATTTATTCCATGAGAGCAAAGCACCAAGGCAGACAGTTTGCCTTTAGGATTCCTGTTGAGCATCAATCAAGCAGGCCATGTGGCCTCTGGTGGCTAAACGTTACTTTTGGTTTCAATTTTTAGGGAGACTCCAATCAATATTAGTCAAAATAATAATTGAATAATAATTTGAAGAAAAAAATGCAGATAGTATTTTCAGCAACTATTGATATTCATTTCAAAGAAAATTGAAATAGGTTGTGTTGAAATGTCGTTTTAAACAATGTTTCGTAGTTGCCTAAATTGCCAGTTCATCACAATTTCTTATAATGCTACATATTGTCTTTAACTTGGATATAAAGATGTGAAAGTCCTGGTTTCTATTCTTTTATATTTATGTAATGAACAATACCCTTTCAGCCTAATGAACTTCAAGAAATTTGATAAAAATATCAGGGATTCACGCCAAGTAGTTAATGTATGATTTTATCTGAAACCATTCCAATTGACAGATCAGCCAGTCTGGATGTACAAGAACATTAATTGTATTCACAAACAGGATATTTATTTATAATATCCTATCAATTGTAAATTGTATTGAGCAATAAAATATTGGAACTTTGTATCTTTTGAATGTTATGAATTAAGAGTTCTTTTCTTTATAAATATGAATTTGAATACTTCTTTCCATAATTTTTATTGATACAAAAGTACCTACAAGTTTTCGTTTCATTTTGGAATTTCACAATTACCTATATTTTTTTTTTATAGTAGCAGTATAAAAAGACAGTATGGATGTAATGTCTGCATTATTGACATGACCTTTCTTCTGTTTTGATAGAGATGCAATTGCTTGAAAATTGTTCAGGTTATGATTCTGCTTGTAGTTATGAAAGTGCATCAGTAAATTCCGGACTCATGTTTTCAGTGACAAAGCTGGTCCTCTGCACAGTATACCAAAGAGGAAAGTTCAAGTTAGGTTGTTAGTGTGACAGGGAGTAGGGTTATATTGTGAATGATCGATTCATTTTAGTAGATACTAACGGATAAATGTGAACTTCATGTTGTGCTAATTATTGTGTTTGTCTACGTATACCCTGCTTTAGTTTTGTATGTCGACATAAATACATTATTTTATGTGCATCAAATTTCACGGGAAATCTTTAGTGGTGGTTTCAAAAGCTTGTGTTGTCACGTACTAAGCTAGAACCAGTTGCCACAGTAATTGTCTTGTTTCATAGATATCATTGTATACATTTTTTGTTTAAATAAAAACCAGATGTCGAAAAGAAAATAGCAATGTTCTGGAAACCATTGATGTCCTTATTTATTAAATTGGAATCCAGAGTTGGCTTTTGATGTTCGAAACATGTAGCTTCGTCAAACTTCATAGCCCCGGTGATCTAAGTATACTTACTAGTAGGGGTTCATAGCGAATACTCAACCAGCATATTCACATACCGTTATTATAGATGCCATCATAAGATCATAAAACATACAATATATGTAGATATCCACCTTTATCATTATGTAAGTTAATGTTTATAACCACTGTTGCAGTAGCAGAATAACACCCAAAGGTTTATGAAGAAAGACGAGCACCATTTTAGGACAAATAAGTGCTGATCAAAAAACTTGACAAAATTACATGGCACTCCTTAAAATATGAAAAATTTCATATATCAAAAAATATTGAAACATCTTGTTGCCCATTCACAGTGGTGAACCTTTGAATTTCTAAATTGCTACCCTTGTGGTATATCAGTTTTGGATGTTAAACTTTCTATTATTTATATCATGTCTCTTTAAAGGACATGTAGAAGAAGCCAAATTTACATCAGTGAACATTTTTTCTCTAATATTTGGGTAGAACGTTCAGAAATAGCTGTGCTTATAGCGAATCCTTGAGGCAGTATTCATGTATCATGATGATGGAGTTGTTTATAATTTTCTTTGGAATTTCAAGAGCTATCTTCACAGAGAAAGGTTGACGAGAATCTTGCATGTATCTTAATTATGCCAATACATATTAAGTGGCCATATACAACAGCACAAGTGGGTACAAGTAGATGGATAAAAAAAATGTTGGTTATAACTTGTTTTTACATTATCAAATCATGTATTTATTGTTCTTTGTCTTTTCTGCGTACTTAACCATATATCCCACATCAATAAAATGTATGACTGTGACCTCCTTTACAGACAATACACAATACTTTTATGTATCTTTGACAAATTTTCATTTGTTTAGCAAAAACATGCCCCGCAGGTAGATGCGTGATAATTTTACAGAAAAATCTAACGGAAAGTTTCTCACTAGTGTAGACTCTTCCAATAATTGCATTTGAGACCTCTGTTCTTGCTGAAAGTTTCCAATGACAAAAGTAGTGTATCTTCCAAGTAGATGTTTTTGCCTTGAACTATCTTTAAGTGGAAAATCAGCATGTGAGATCACGTTCCTGTTAATATGCTCAGTAGTACAAGAGAAGACGTCTTGAATGCAGTCTACTACCTTCATGTTCTTCAAAAGGATCCTTTGTACCATTGACTAAAGTAAGAGACAATAGCACACAGAATTGAGTTGTTTTAGTGTTCAGCTTAGAAATGTGACAAAAATGCAAATGGCATTAATCAACTTGTCATGCTTATAGGATGTACATGTCAGTAGATGCCACCCTGAAGTTACAGGAGTAGCATTACTCAAACTATGCTAGCCGTTTTAACCGAGATTATTAATCAACATTTAAGTTTTTTTTAAATATGAGCAGGATCTGCTATTCTCATGTCAGATATTTGTAAATGATGTCTTCAATATTTGAGGGAAAAATTGATAAAAGAATAAACTAGATGCACCAACAATTTGTTCTCTTTGTTTTCATGTTGTCAAAAATGTTTGTTGACAAGGGAAAAAGGTGTACAAGTGTTATATGTCTAATATAAATGGACCTGGGGTTCATATCTGTATATATACTTTCTTTTTTTGCCTATTGGGTTGAAGTTCATTAGTCTTGCACAAATATCAATTGACATAAACACAGGACCACCATTAACAGATACAGTTCAGCTAAGAAGTACTAAACATACTTCGAGACATAAAAATGTGAAACTCCTGATGCCTCTTGCATATAAGCAGCCATCACATTCAGGTTTCATTATTATTTGGACAAAGAGGGGGGGGTATATATTATTTTCATTTCATCTGCGTGTCCGTTGTTCTATGTTCATTCACACTGACTGGTTTCCATTGCATATAACAGCCACTGTTCACAGTTTCACAAATGGCAATTAAAATATTGATTTTGGTATATTGTAAAAAGGCATTATGTCGCATCCAGGCAAGGTCAATTTGACCTTGACATCAAAGTCTGAAATAATTGTTTTCAGAGCATATCTTGGCCATTGTTTCATAAATCGGAAGTAAACTGTGTATGTAGTGGTTCTTGGAAAGATGGTGTGTGGCATGATGTAACTGTGTCCTCCTGTACCATCCATTGTTTTGTGATGTTCCGTTCTGCTCACCCCTCCCACCAGCTTGTTTGCTCTGCTTCTACCAATGTATAGTTACATCATGGGAGGACGGTGGTCACACCCTAAAATGAGGTCAATCAAACCTTTGACCTTGACCTTCTTTACTAAAATACTGTGTACCATTAAAACAGGTATCCTTAGCATATCCTGGGCACCATTTCATGAATAGGCTTCAATCTGTGTAAGTATGCGGGGAGCTGGGGTATCTGTTAAACCAATGATTTAAGTTAAAAAATAATTCAAACGTCAAACATGGCACTAATCACTAATCACCATGGCACTAATCTCCTAAAAATAAAATGTATGACATTAAAGATACATCTCAAAGCCTAAAATAATATTGTCTTGGTGAAGAGGTTAATTTTAATTGTTTAACCATACTAGTAACAGCCTGTATTGCAAGAATTGGTCAAGGATGATGTCAATAAAACACTCAAAACCTCATTTTACCTTGAACGAGACAAAATTAACATTTTTCAACTGATGTCACAAAGGCAGAGCATGTTTTGTATAAATGCTAGGCCAGTCAAATTACAACACTGCAGCTGCACCTTAGCTAGATATTGAATGTGACCTACATTTCCTGGTCCAATGTATTACAGCACCCTCATCAACAATGTTGAAAGTTTTATGCTGTGGGGCAATGTCTGTTAATTGTCCATCTGTCCTTTACCTGTCACTCTGGTGGTCTGTTGCAATCACCTTTTGTCCGTTATTTCTTGTCTTTCGTGCGTTAACAATCACATCTTCGACTTCTGCTCAAAAACCATCAGTCAGATTTGGATTAAACTTGGTGGATGACACCTCAGGGTGCTGAGAGACGGAGCCATAAGTTGTCCCAGAGTGCAAAACTTTCAAAGGACTTCTGTGACACTTACAGGTGGATTTTCATAAAATGATGTTTAGATGATCAGGATCAGAATTTATACTCCAGAACTGGCTGACCCCCACCCCCTGGAGGGCTCGAGGGAAGTCCCCACCCCCTGGAGGGCTCGAGGGAAGTCCCCACCCCCTGGAGGGCTCGAGGGAAGTCCCCACCCCCTGGAGGGCTCGAGGGAAGTCGTTTAGTGTAAGTCCTGAAACAATCATATTTTTGACTTCTTTCCAGAAATTATCTCAGATTTTGATTAAATTTGGTGGTAATCATCAACCCAAGATTGGGAATAGAATTTATACTCAAGATAGGTTTTACCCTCCATGGGCCTGAGTGGTGAAGTCAAAAGGGGTCAGATTGCCTAACCTTTCAAAAATTGTCTTCCTCACCCCAAAATATGCTAGAACCAGATCCTCTTCCTAGATGGACAGGTCCAAGTGTTTTATCAACATCATGAATTACATTACCATCGGGTCACCCATTCCAACCCCCCTTTAGGGAGTAAATTTAACTTAATTGCAGTATTACTTTATTATTTAATTTAAGTCACTCCAAAACAGCCAATCCACAGTAAAAAGACTTTTTTGGTTACATTTACTTTTATTCTTTGTCTCATAACAATAACAAGTAACACTTGCATTTTAACTCCGGTGAGCGTTGCCTTTTGTTTTTGTCTCGCCTGCGTCAGAGTCGCGAAGCGAGACATAGGTGTTACTTTCCGGCAGCGGCAACATTTCTGTTAAACTCTAAATTTCTCTTTAAGTACATATACTTATACATTGTATCCATATATAACCATCCAAACACACATTTTAAATTCAGAATTTTAACAAAAATACATATGTAACCTGGAATATAATCATATCTATATGTACATGTATAACCATCCAAACACACATTTCAAATTCAGAATTTTAACAAATATTTACTGTTAATTAGACTTTGTTACTTAATTGGGCCATGTTAAAGTTTTCCGTTTAGCTCCACATTGAGCTAAATTTTTCTTTAAGTACACAAAGCTATCATAATGAAACCTGGAATATACTTGTATCTTTATATAACCATCCAAACGCACATTTCAGATCCAGAATTTGAACTAAATTTTACTGTTAATTAATTGGGCCGTGTTCCGTTTAGCTTGGGGTTGAGTTTAATTTCTCACAAAGTATATGTGCTGTCATAACCAAACCTGGATTATACTTTTATCTATGCATGGGCATCCCTACACACATTTCAGATTTTGAATTTCACCTACTGTTTACTGTAAATTGGACTTTGTTAATTAATTGTACTATGTTAGATGTTTTCGTTGAGCTTAATTTCTCACAAAGTACATGTGCTGTCATAACCAAACCTGGATTTTTCTTATATCTTTGTATTTTGTTATTAATTACTTATACAATGTGTATTTTGTCACCGTGAACTTAGCTGCAACATCCGTTTTCTGATTTGACAAAATGGCCATCTTATAAGGGCTTCTGATTGGTCAAAATTCAGTTATTGTTCGATTACACTAATCAAATCTGGAAAAAAAACATGTAAATTGGCGCTGCAAACTCAGTCCAAACATCCGTTTTCTGATTTGACAAAAAATGGCTGCTTTATATTGGGATCTAATTGGTCGAAATTCAGTAACTGTTCAATTTCGCTAAAAATTAGTTTGTAAGTGAACTTTAGCATTGCAAACTCAACTGCGGAGTCCAGTTTGTGATTTGACAACATGGTTGTGGTATATTGGCTTCTGATTGTTCGAAATTCAGATATTGTTCGATTTTGCTAAAATTTTGTATGTAGGTGTATTTTGTCACTGCAAACTCAGCCACATTATCCATTTTCTGATTTGACATAATGGTCACCTATACTGGTTTCTGATTGGTCGAAATTCAGTTATTGTTCAATTTCAATCAAATTTGATAAGGACATGTATTTTGGCACTGCAAACTCAACCGCGGCATCCGTTTGCTGATCTGACAAGACAGTCTTCGTATACTGGCTTCTGCATGATTGGTCGAAATTCACATATATTTTGATTTTGCTCAAATTTGTGTGTATATTACTTCTGTCACCTATTTACATTAGTTTTTCTGAATGCGTAGTTAGTGTGGGGGACATCTGTAATGGCCAGCTCCCATTACAACTAGCACTTGTGCCTTTTATACCTTCATGTTGATGTATTGCCAAATTTGTTTATAAAATATAAAATTCTGAACTTCGGCTCAAATTTACAATGCTTGACACATTGAATCTTATGCTCAAAGCGGGGACAGGTGAGACATATAATTACGCATAAATTTTGTTCTTTAAAATCCTACTAGACCAGAACAGCTGAGTGGACTATCACCAATTTTTGGGCCAAAGGACTCCTTACAAATGGTGTGGCTACTCCGGGTGCAGAGGTGGAGTCCAATGAGGGAAATAAGGTAAATCTTAAATTCTTTCTCTTTCTGTAAAAATATGACTACTTGTCAAACTAAGTCATTAAACTAAACTTTTATCATTGGGGTATAACATCTTATTCTAATAATTAGATGCCGTGTCAATTAAGGTTTAGCAACATTATCAGTTAACCCTAGCCTTTTACCCCGAATTGTAACTTTAGTAGACTTTACTATGCATTGATCTGGATGAGTCCATTTTGGTCTACAGTGGTGAAAGGGTCAACTCATGACAGTTAAGTTTTTATGTCTGTTTCTTTGATAAAATGTGTTGATGGTCAAAACTGTATTAAAGAAGATAGAAAGTTAAAGGTTGTCGGCTGAGAATCTCGCAAATTGATTGTGCAAGTTACAGTTTCTGACAATTGTGTAAGTTGCATGTTTGAATCATGATTCAATTTTATTGACATGGGATAAAGAGAAACAACTTATACCAGAGGAATAGGACATTACTTAACTAAGAAAATAACATATAAATATATATGTATAAAAAATGGCATTGAAAATGAACAAAGTGCTGTGAAAGCTTGTATTGCTCACCTGGACAGTTGAACAACTATGGCAATTTTCCCCCCAAGACAAACTATAGTATCATATATAGATGTTTTGTTGGATAGAGAATCGAAGCGAAGAACCAATATCCGTATAATGAACTAATGTCCTTATTGGGCCCCACCCCTGGCAGGGAAACAGGACCCAGAACATATTATCTACATGCATATTTCAATGATATAGGAATAGGCCATATGTACAATCTTCATGAGACAGGATTTTTTTAAAATTTAAATCTAAATGATCGAATCATGACTTATACAAGGGACTAGTCTTTTCTTCAGTATTATATTTATATGGCACAAGCTATAGTAGAAGCAAGGGATTGATAACATGAAAACTACAAATCATTAACAAGTAAAAATACTACCCTATCGCTATCAACAGAAAGAACTTGTTCTTGTGATATAATTTTAAACTAAATATCAATTAATATGTAAAACAGACCACAGTGTGCTTTGACAATTATTTCCCAGTAAATATAAGGCCTTTAACCTTTTTATAAGAACAGACATAACTAGTGTTCTGAATACAAACTACGTAAGGACTTGAGTAACATTTCATAATCGTTATGGTGAATTTTGAAATCAATAAAACAACCTTTATTATTAACAGTCCTTATTTTTCTTAATTAAGAAACACATGGAACCTGTCACTTATTCAAACAGTGTTTTACAATTTCATTGCAACTATGATAGTCTCAAACCAGTTTCTCCATTTCTTGAGGAAGAGGCACCTGAGGCCTGTTACGGCCTTCCTCCATTATAGCCTCAATCTCTTCCACAGTCCTAGGGACACAGGTAAGACATTCCATCCCATCCTCTGTAACTGTGATGTCGTCCTCAATCCTCACCCCTCCAAAACCTCGATACTGGTCAATTTCTTCCCTCACCAAAAACTTTGCCTGTTCTGGGTTGTTCAGGGCAGCATCTATCAGCTGTAAGTGTTAAGGGAAAAGCCACTGGCATGAAACTATTTAGAAGTTGAAGTGAAATTCATAACTGCCTTTCATTTCACAAGCAAACACCTGTTTGTAAATTCTGATAAATTATTAAAAAAAATGATTTTTGTTTTTTTAAATATGATACATCATCACATGTGTCTTGTCTGCTGAAGTAAATGACAAGCTTAATTGATGTACACTAGTGACCTTAATGTTTTAGCATTAACAGGAGAGCTGACCCCTATTCTTTATCAGATGTATAGGTGATGCTTCAATGCTTAAATTGTCAAGTCTTAACCATACAGAGAATAGGGATTTCTCACCAATTTAGTATTTCTGGAGATTTTTCCAAATACTATATGTCCCATAGACATACAAATCACAGGCACCTGAGAATTCGTGACAGCAAAATGCCACCCTTAATGACAGTGCTGTCTTATCATTGGGGGGTGGCATCTTTACTGAAAATTTATCTTAATCCCAGAAATGTGTAAAACTACTCACATCTCAGTTTTGGTCCAAATATAGCTGTAACAAATTTTCATGTCCCTGCGATAGAAATAGTACTGAAATGCTGATGATTTTACTATATATACTGTTTGAAATAGTAGGGCCTGACATTCATTTTAAATAATATTATTCTTTTACTGTTTATAGGTATACATTACCATCATATAATGGTTAGTAAATTAAAGTGTCCCCAATTCTACTCACAATATCGATGAAATAGATTCCTGGTTCTACTGTGATGACCATGCGGTGGTCAAGTGTACGTACTGTCCGAAGTGACCGTAGGCCTGGCTGGTCAATTCTCTCTGTACCCTGGATTCAGAAAAGATCTAATCAGTCATCTTCATTTAATGACTGACTGGAGCTGGTTATCAGACTCGAGTGAACAATACATGAACCTCCATGACAATACTATAGATGGTTTATTGGTAGCTAATTGTCCCTTAATATCAGTATATATTAACAGGTATTTAATTAATATTATGCATTAACACTATAAAACATTTAATATGGGATGAATACCCCCAACTTTTGTTGCATTATTTCATACAAACGTTATTACAGTAGACTAAACCACATATCTCTTTGGTTTAGCAACAGAGTTATGATCAGTTACATATACGTTACAACATCTGATGCATATTTCAACGTGAATACACAAAGCATTAAGTACACTATGTACAAAAGCAGGCATATGTTTCATAAAATAGCTTTATTACTCTCTCAAGATTCATATTTTTCTTATTTCAATATGCAAAATTTAATTTCTGGGGGGAAGTAGCATGTAAAAAAAATCAAAAGTCGGTAAACATATTTTAGACAGGAATCTCTTTAAGATAAAACAAGGAAATTATTTTGTATTGTTACATTTTCCACATATTTCCAGATATGCTCACCTCTGGGTAACCTCCCACATCATGTGTGTCTATCCCCATGAAGTGTCCAAGTCCATGTGGCATGAACACTGCTCCCAGCCTCACTTTCATCATCTCATCAACATCTCCCTTTACCAGTCCTTTCCTCTTTAATTCCTCCAGGTGTGTTCGGTCTGCCAACAGGTGCATGTCTACCCAAGACACACCTGTCCAGGATGTCATATTAGTGGAAAAGTAAGTGATAGTTTAAATGTAAAAAAACATGTTACACTTATATGGACAATTCATTTAGTTAGAATTACTTAAAAGAGGAACTGATATTAAAGATAATCAAATCTTTTCAGTTGCCAAATGAATTAAAATCTCATGACAATATATTATGTCACCTTCTTTAACTTATTTTTACCTGAAACTACTTGAAACATAGAGAAAAGTGACCCAATTATTGATAACAATAGGTATACAGATGGAGTCAAATTGATGTTGACCAATGCCATATTCAACATATAATATCCTTTATCATATACTTGTCCATGATATGGGTTGTTTTGAATGTGCGATACTGTTAGCTAGTGCATAGATCATATCACAAACCAACCCATATCAGCTCAGCATGTGCATTATCTGTTTAACCTTGATTCTGCATGTTTCGAAAAAATCAATGCCTGGATCATCGGACAGTGAGTGAAACAAATTGGTAGAGCACCTACTGTATTATATCCATTTGTATTTGTTATGCTGTTTTTTATTTTTAAGTCAAATATTATTATATTAAACATGATGTTATAGAGCAGTATCTATTAACCTCTATATTTTCAATGGCTATATCAGCTCTTTTTTCGACAACAGTAACTTACCTGGTTTTACTGCATCCATGACAGCTCGGCTAGACTTCAGGACGGCCTCATAGATGTTACGCTGTTTCTCAGAGAACTTGCCATTGGCCGGGAAGGAACATGTGATGTCTGATGAATAGCAACAATATTCACTGCCCATATCAAACAAGCTGAAATAAAAACAGACTTACTTAGGCAGTTTTATAAGAGTGATGATGCTCTCATTAAGGGAAATAGTTCTATTTAATTTGTAAGCAATAATATTGGCTAAAAGCTTGCACCATAATTTACGATTCTGTCATGGTTTGTCCACCCATAAAAACTACTAATGGGTTTCTGATATGATCCATAATTGATGCTTGTTAGGACCTGTCGGTTCTGATAATCATGTCACATAGACGAAAGGACCTGTTAATGCTGCTCATCGTGTCACTTATGCCAGAAAAGCATTACAATCATGCTTTTATAGCAGACAACACATTCTCTAGGAGGCCAAGTAGACCTTTAAACTAGATTTAGACTCATCAAGATCCTAACAAGCCCTGACATTTCTCAAATTGTTCAATAATATGCTTTAAGTTTAAAACAATAAAGTTCCTCATGAAAATTTGATTAGATTAGGACTGTATTCGTTTATCACGATTGTTGGACCTGAGTTGTTCGTTTAGGAAATAAGGTCAGACCCAGTAATCTGATGCTGCTTTCAGGCGAGCCTTGACAAAGCCTTGCAAGGCCTGCATAAACATTTGCAGGTCCGCCAGGATTCATACCCAAAAATGTTACAATTAAAAACGAACGTACCGGTTGTTCCGCATAAACATAACAGGTCTAATCTCAAGTCCTGAATGACAAAATTAATGTGGTTCAAATTGTTCTGTCCATTTAAATAAAAGTACCCCCAGAATCCTTCCAAACAAACTGTGATGAGAACATTGCTACATACCACATGTCTCCGTTGCTGACCTGTTTGGAGTTGGGAGCTCCTGCATGGCCGTAGTGTAATACTGATCCATTGTCACCACTACAAACAGTAAACAAAACGGTCTAATGATGTCGGCATTAAATCTAGGTCATCAGGTCTTTCTGTCACATATATAATTGGTTTTGGTTTAGTTTGGTTTATTTTGTATGTCTCATTTACAGCTGAGGTCCTTTACTGATATGCCTCAATGTGTATTTGTGTGCATGTGTGTATGTGTGCTGGAAGTGGTATGTTGTGGTGTATTTGACTCCTTGTGTAAGCGTAGATCTGATGCAGACTTTCAAGTGCTACTTAACTGAAATATAATGCAAAAGGCACCCAGCATAGTAATCCACCCGATCAAATTGTACTGACAATGGGTATATAATATAAACCAGTTGTTTCTATTACCAGAGATGCTGAATTTTAATCAGGGAATAACAACTACCATATTTAAGAATATCAACCATTTACTTAAATATGCCAAACTAAATAAAAAAAACGGTTCGTAAGATATTTTGTGCGTACATATGCATTTTTCTTCAGAATTTGTCAAGTGTGACATTTGACCCTTTAACCTTAACCAATGACAAACAAACAACAAAACTCTTCTCAGTAGTAAAATTTGAGTTACCATACTATGGTGTAAATACCTGTTGCATGGTTCATGTGATATACTGTATTGTACACAAGCTTTTTGCTACAGGTGAATGCACAGGCAATGCAGTTACTAAATAAATTCCTATCAGTTACTAAATAAATTCCTATAAGTTAAGGAACAATAATTCACAAAACTTAAGTCATTTACATTAAACATAGGAACAATGCCTTACGATTGTGATTTTAAATCCATCACTAAATTATAGTCAGTGCAGGAGTTTTAAAGAAATCATAATTCACTTAATCAATAACAAATAAGCCTTTGATAAATGCTAATGATTGTAGTTGAGAAGCCTATGATAGTTATCAATCACTCACTGGAAGTCCTCTGTATATATACTATATATATGCATGCATATGTGACGTACTTACGATCCACAAACCCTGTGCCCCCACCCTAGTTGCCTTGTACCCCTACTATAGTAGCAGAAATGTCGGAACACACTGAAAGTAAAGGCAGACCTGAGAGCAACTTACGTTCCACAGATACATGTATAAGCCTGGTGCCGCATCCCACCATTGAAGTAACAGTAATGGCGAAATATGCTGTAATACAAAAAATGGTTTCGTCATCCCATAGAATTGATTAAAACAAAGTGGGTGTTTGATACAATATTCATTTTTTCAATAAGTACTTGAATTGGATGGGCATGATATTCAAAAGTCATCATGGAGAGGTTGTTTTTTGTTGGTTTATTAATTACTTGAAGTGGATTTTGAAACAGTTTAAATTATAACAAATAATACATTAAAAATACAGTTTTGTTACAACATAACCTCAAAATATCCCAGGCAAAGTGTCCGGTGTATCTTACCTTTCTAACTGGTACTCATACATACAAAGTGTCTGGTGTATCTTACCTATTTAACTGGTACTCATACATACAAAGTGTCCGGTGTATCTTACCTTT